GGGGGGGGGGGGGTGGGGGGGGGGGGGGGGGGGGGGGGGGGGGGGGGGGGGGGGGGTGGCGCGAGGGCGGAGGTGAGGAGTGCCTGCAGAAAGGGGGAGATGAGAATTTCTCGAACTCTCGCCCTCCCGCCCACTCCCTCACTGTTTTACGTTCACTCTGTCATCTCATTCTACCTTCAGCTTCTCTCAACCATATCCCCCACGGTATTTCTGTCAACGGGCGAAAACCCGTCGAATCGTCGCCGGTCTAGAACGGTTCTGGCATAATGCAAAACTTTACTTGTGAAATGCGAAGGGCGGAGGGGGGGGGGAGGGCTGAGAATGGGTGCTATGTGCGATTTCAAACTGTTGAAGTTTCTTAGAGCATATCGTGTATATAGTGATGGGTCTCATCACTCGGAGGGGGGCAGTAGACCGGTCCCACGAGTCCTGTATCTACTTGTACGTATGTTCTGCGGAGAAATTTTTCACACTTAAAATAGTGGGACCTCGGCGGCTGTTGTGGATATGGAAAATCTTGTTTGAGTCCTCTTCGAGACGATCTCTAGGAGAATGAGCTTTCAGGGGATATAGAAAAGACATCAAATGTATTTACATCAAAACATTTTTTTTATTTGTATTTATAAATTTCTTAATTCGATTAAATTTGTGTTCTGTGACCTGTGACGCATTGGTGTCGGTTCCATGAGTACAAACACAGTGATTTTAATATATCTGTAATCTAATATTAATATCCATTATCCTATTCATTCGTAAATTGTACGATTGAAATTTTGCACCGTTCAACCCATTCTTTAGTTACCACATTTCTCTGATTTTTTTTTGTTATTTCCAGGTTTTTTATTAGAAAAATAAAGTTACTCTGGGGTAGCAATGGCATTCGAAATCAATGGCGAGTGAATATTATGATGACAGACGCAGGATTGGGTGAACCTAACAATGTCAATGGAAATTCGGGTCTCAGTGTATGAAAATCATTTGGGTTAATGAAATGTGTGTTACGTGTCATCTACCGTGAATTTCGCCGATGCGATGATGATAACCACAACTTATGGAGATTATACAAATAGACATTGAATTACTTTCAGCCTCTCTTTGATGATACAAAATCTGTTTGCCATTTACCCGCATTCATCATGAAAATCCATTAATAATCGTGTCAATTTTGGATTATTGGAGCGGTGAGCTGGCGGAAGGGGGACGAAGGAGAATGGAAGAATATGGTGGATAACAATACAAAGTGCATATTTGTGTTTGGATCGATGGAGCTTGCAATTGAAAACACAGTATACGTTACATATCACGGGGATTTACTCTGATGATGTTAAGCCCACACATCTTTTCAATGTTATTGTATTTAGATTTACCATTGTTACCCGTTATCTCTGACGACAGACATTATTTATTGAGCTCCCATCACTTCGTCAATATATCGAATTAATCCAATAACCCATCGGTGCATTGTTACCCACAGTTTCTCTGGAATAACCGCAAGAGGTACTCGATTATTCGACTATTAAAACAGCCCATTCATTCCGAAATTTCACTGGTACTTCGTTGATTGATTGGGGACGAGTGTTAATCTCATTATGATTTTTAACAACACGTGGGCTTCGTCCACACTATGATGCAAGCTGGGTTTTGATCGTGAGGTTCGAGACGTGATCGCGGATTTTTGAGTTGATGTTATGTATCTCGCTGATTGACATTCTTGGGAGATGATCGTTGAGGACCAGTCGGGGCCAAGCGAGGCGCCAGTAGGCGGTAGGACTCGACGCCTGGGGCACAATCATTCCTCGTGTCAGACGTGATCTCCCCAAACGACCGACATTTTCATGCGATCAACCGACGCGAGGTAGGTACCGTGTGGATGCCATGCAACTGCTGTTACTGCGAATCTGTAACGTTAAGTTATTGATTAGTTCGGGGATTATTATTAGGGGAGTGAGGATTGATTTTACTTCAGAGGTTGGGGTGCGGGTGAAGTGGGTGAATATTGTTTTCAATGATTGGTGCCACCCTGGAGGAACATAGAAAATGCGGGATACACTGGGGAAAATTAAGCAACTTGATAGAAGGAAATTTAATATCTTTCACGAAATTGGGATTTTTTTTGCAACAAAAATTATGCCCTCGAGATTATTTAGTTTTGCCAGTGACAGTTTTCGGGAAGAACATTGTAGTTTTCTCTGGAAATTATATGACCTTGATGACCCTTAATCTGACCCTCGTGACTGAATTTTGGAGTTTTTATTTCGAGGGCCCCATTTTCTTTACCATCAGAAGTCGATTCCGATTTTTATAACACAGAAGGAGAGATAAACCTTCGAATCACAATTAAGCGATTCCCCGGTTCGAATCCCCAGCCAACTTCGTGCTCCTCCAATTTGCGGTAACCCATGACAAATTAAAATAGTCACATCCACATAACCAACTATCAATTAAGTTCATAAACGGTAAAATTACCCCCCCCCCCCTCCAAGGGGAGGCCACGATTTAAAGATTTTTCAAACCACCGATTTTCCCTTGAAGATGTCCCTGGAATTCTTCCACGATTAACGGTATACCCCTGGTACTGGGTAAATCGTTCGTGGGGATTAGTCTGGGTACGTGCCTCGTCATCCACGAGGGTGACATTAACTGATTTCGTGGCCTGGGTAATACATGGTCAATTATGGGGCGAGACCCCTCCTGAGATTGTGCACGCGCGAGCGCGCGTTTTCCAGGCGGTAATTGACCAGGTGAATAGTCCCCGCGACCACCGACTAACTGTTACAAAAGACCTCACCACGAGGTTACCCTCCTCCTTCGCTCCTCTACATCTTTTTCACTGGTCTATCTCGACTTCAACTGCACGTGCAGCGTTTTTCCTACACAGGTATTTTCAACCCCTCTGTACTTGTATATTTTCTCTCCACATAGTGCGCGTTTTTCTGTTACAAATGACGATCATTCTCACGTGCATATTCTCCAGCCTCATATTTCTATTTACCCACACGCCGATTTGTACCACTTTTGCCGGTTTTTCGCTCCTCCCACGCGGTAATTTTTCTTTTGTGAATTGAAAAGATAAATTTTGCGAGGTGGTAACTTGACTTTCAAACGTACATCAGCCCACAACTGTGGGGGGAATTCGATCATGTGGGCGTGTGTGAGAGGATCGAGTTGAATGGGAAATAGAATTAACGAACATTTTCTTTAATCATTGTTCTTGCAACCGGAAAAGTACGCCATAACCCTTCTAATTTGATGATTTTTATTTAATTTTTTTATTTTTATTATTATTATTTTTTTTTTAATTTTTTTTTTTTTTTTTTCTTGTCAACGGAGTTGTCCACTCGGTAGGTTAAACATTCTTAATGGCTCGTCGAGCGAACGAGGGAAAAAGGTGGTCGAAAAAGCATGAGGAATAGGTAGCCGATGGTTGTCGCGACAGCCGCTCGTCGCCTCACGCCGTCTCCAGGCATCGGGCGATATTTCCCCCTCGCTCTGTATATACTGAACCTACTTTGCTCATGATACCTCGAGACCAGGGCCCAGCAGGTGCCTACGTAAGAACCCAACGCCCCGTTATATTGCTCCAACGTCGACGAACGAGGGTTGAAGAACGACCGGCGATCTGTTCCACTTGCCGAAGTGGCGTGCGAAATAAGCTTTCCAGGGTATGTCGGTGGGTGCGGGTGGATGCGTGGCAAACGACAACCGCACGAGGTCTCATGAGAGCCGACGTACGTAGAATGGGGTTATTGAGGCTACATGAGGGAGCGAGAGAGAGGGAGAGAGAGGAGAGGGATGTGGATGCAGGAGGGAACACATTGGAATGTGAAACGCGAGGGAATTTCCACCCTGTGTAGGAGGACTAGGTTACCTAGAGGGGGCGGGCGATGGGAAACGATGGGAGTGGAAAAATTGTCGAGACAAGAATTCCACAGATTATTGAAGTCTGCTGTTGGCATGTTTGAAGGGTAGAAGTAATGGGTCTTAAACAAATTGACAATGGATATAGTAGATTTCCGCACCAGGTCGGGAGGTACTTTTCTAGGGAATATGAGGTCACAGGAGGAGCCGACGGCGAGGGCGGCAAATTCCACGAGTTTCAAGCCAAGCGCGACGACTGAATGGCGAATAGTATTTTTTACGGAAATTTCACATGCACTGGTAGAAAATTAGTCTTGAAATTTCAAATGGAAAAGGTTGGAATTTTTGACAACGAGAAGTTACGTGAATTTTCTGGGGAGTTCTTCATTGACGAATCAGTTAATTTCTTGAATATTCAAGGAGTTCTAGATTTTCAGCTCCATACGCCACTGAAAAGCTTTGAAACTGTTTTCACACAAAATTATTTACCGGGAGATTTCACGACGATTTCATTTCTAGGAATTGCGAGACCGTTTACCTCGCCGGAACCTCTGGTAAAGTTTTCAAGATTATTGAAGGAATAATTCAAATTACTTTTAATCCACACTGTTAGAAAAAAAAAGAAATTTCATGGACAGTTGACTACAAATTTGCAGGTCAGTGCCACTAAATGCGATTTAATTTCGCATTTAATTTTCCGAATGCGAAAAAAAATCATGAAATTTCAGGTTTCACCGAAAATTCAGTAAAATTCCAGAATTTTAAGCAGCACAGAGACGAGAATTCCTCAATTTATTTGAATTCCAATTCAAGAGAATATCAACCACAATTTTCTGATTTTCTATTAATTACCCGAAAAAAAATGGAACAGGAATTGACAGTTCTCTTTGATTTCCCCCGCAATTCTGAATTTTCACTGACAAATTCCCTGCAATTTCACTTATAATTAAATATGCGCCGCTCCCGAGCGCCGTTGCCCGATCAGAATTCGACTGTTGCCACCGCAGTAAACTCGATAAAAATTTCCACAAGTGTACCAGAAATGTCAGGCAAAAATGTTCAACAGTGCACATCCACAAAAATCCCCATCCCAACTACCCGAATCATAATTTTCCCCCGTGAGTAGTCTAACTCGAATTGAGTGTATCCAACAACAATCGCCCCCCCCCCCCTGATTGAATGTATTTACCATCGTTTGGATGCCCCGGTTGAGACAATTGATTCCTTTGTCTCCCCGTGATTCTGGAGCGGCTTTCGTATGTCCGCCAGTGGAGAGAGGTGTTGAGCATTGAGGGTCCAATGTCAGAAAGCACAAGGGTGCGCAAGTGAGCGAGATTGCAATGACGGTAGAGAAGGGAAGATGGATCTCAACCCACCAAACACGCCGGTCTACAGCAAACAGTGGCACCTAATGGAGCACTCATTGATGACCCCCCTGGCGATGGGGCTCCCGGTGGTCGTGTGGTAGTCCTGGCACGAGAGAACGACAATGCGCGCGATGATTAGACCATCGTCGACCAACTACGATGCGGGTGGGCAAGATACAGGGCACATCACGGCAGATGGAGGAGGATCTAAATGAGCGAGAGAGAGAGAGAGAGAGAGGAGGGGAAATTCGAAGGGATGAGAGGACCGCGGGAATGCACACCATGACGTTGAGACGTTTTCAATACTTCGCTGTTGATGAAACCGCTTGGCCTCTCCTCCACGGCGCTCTCTCTCTCTCTTTCTCCCTCTCTGTTTCCCACCCCCCAGACCCTATTATACTCCCTCGAGGACGAGTGGCACAGACCAACGACGTTACAGTTACTACTGAGGAGAGGGCTTTGGAACAACGGGCACGTTCCAACAAAGCGAGACAGCTTGCTCGATGGAGAGGAAAATTAAGTCCACCCGCTTCGACCAATATCCACCACTGAGTCCCCCCCCCCTCTCAAGCTACCCTACTTTTTTGAAATTAAAGTTTTACAAGTTAATTCAAACAAGTGTCACAGGTTAAATCCCCAGTAATTGGAGGATTTCAATTCTATGATGAATGGTTTCGGAAAATTCAGCTCGTGTATTGAGACTGCTTTATCGTGACAGGTTGAATCGAATATTGGAAAATTTTGTAGGGGTATGAAGTAGGTTCGAGCTATCAATTCGAAAGAGTATCTTTTAGCGATGGATTTCAATGGGGCTTGAGCAATGTGCAAGCTCGAAAGGGTCATTTCCATCGAGGTTATGTTTTTTTTTTATGGGAGTGGATGGGGTGCTTGAAATTTTACCTCTGGAAATCAATTCGCATCATTTTTGCTATGCGAGCTCTCACTCATTTCACGGGAAACCCTCTATTAGTTTTTTGCCGGTAATTCGAGGAGTGGAGTTGAGAAATATTGTTATTTTCGAGGTTCGGTGTTGTGATCCGATTACGGAACAACGGAGATCGCAAATAATTATATTCAGTAATGCGCTTTAAAAAAATTGATTTCACCTTTTGTGTCAGCGATCTATTTCGCCAGGGGTATCCTTGAGCTTAGGAACAAGGATAAATCATTGCATAGGATCCTAGATTATACAATTCAGTAGTGAAGCGGTAAACCGGGTCAAGTCGATTTTGACTATTGGCCAGTTTTTGACGAATATCTCGGAATCTAAGAGAGATCGCAGAATTTTCCCATGACCTTTTTTGTAGAGCCAATTGAGGGTTACAAAAAAGGTCATGTGAAAATTCTGCCATCTCTCTTAGATTCCGAGATATTCATCAAAAACTGACCCAAAGTCAAAATCGACTTAACCCGGTTTACCGCTTCGCTACTGAATTTTTTTTTTATTTCCTTTGGAAATGAATGTTAACAATATATATATTTATTGCATACATGAATATATATATTAACATATGTATTTGCATTTATTTAATATATAATATATAATATTATATGTTATATAATTATTATTATATTATTATATAATATATAAATGTTATTATATTATATATATTATATTATTTATTTATATACATACAAATAAATATTTTTTCTATATAAATTATTACCCGGCC